AGGATCAGCCCAATACTCCATGCATTGGGGCAAGGGACTGAAAGATATCACCGACGGAATCGAAGCGTGCCTGGACAACAAAGCGCGACGCACACCGGGAGGTGTTGCCCCAGCTGTGGTGGTTGTCAGCTACGCTGGCAACGATGTCTACGGAAACTATGGGTACGTAGGCAATCCATGGGTAGACACCCAAGTCCTTCACAGGAATCCGGCAAAGCAGCAGGCCGCGTACGCGTGGCAGGCTGAGCTGGCCGAGAGTCACACCCAACAGATGCGGCGTCTCGCCGATCTAAGGCAACGCAAGGATGTAGCGGCTCTGATTGTCATCTGCTACTGCGATGGGCAGTCCTATGGCTTGCCGGAGGACTTCACCCGCCAAATGGTCCTTGTTTCCGAGGCCTTCAAGAAGATGGGCGTGATCACTGTGGCCGGCACAACGCTCGTGCGCTCATGTACCAGGTACGACAGCTTCCATTGCCTGAATACAGACGCCAACCGGAATCTGTTTGTCCGATACTACGCTTCTGTTGCCCTGTTCGCCTATTACTACTGGGTTTTGGCCGGTGTGGACATTCTCAGGAGAGACGCGAACCTGTTCGCAAAGCAGAGAGGCAACAAGACACGCAAGGCTTTGATGCGTGAGCGGGTGTGGAACAAGCGGTTCGATGAAGGCTACCTATGCATTGGTGATTGGTATGAACCGTTCCCAGGCGAAATCCGCCAGCACGCCATCACTGGCACTGGCAAAAAGGTCGCGCTGACAGAGTTTGAGGAAATTGCGATCCTTGATGACTGGGGTGAGTGGGAGGACGCCGCCCAGGAAGAGATCGAAGCCGCCCGAAAGCTACCTTTCAATGTGAGGGCGTATCAGCAGCGGGGGACCGCGGGCCAATGGTTAATTCCGACTGCAGCCGACTGGGGTGCACCTTCGGGAGCGCCCAATCCCAAGGAGGATGACAAAATGGAAGTGGATGAGCCGAAGGTCATCAAGATCGATGAAGTCTTTGAACCACCCACTACCACGCCTCCGGGGACGGACGGCCGCGATCAGAACAATCAGGCTCCTGCCTCTGCAGCTGGTATGGAGTTTGTCACTGCGAATGTGCCCGTTCCGGCTGACGGTGACAAAGAGTTCGTGCCGCCAGTGCTCACTGAGGAAGATGAGCTGCTGGTGATGAATGATCCTTTGGATGATGAAGAGCAAATCTTGGAGTTGCTGCAGCCACACATTGCTGCTGCAGAACGTCAAGGACATGAGAATGTCGATCAACCGGATGACGATGAAGACCCCGATGAAGAGATCCTGTTTGACACACCAATCCTCACGCACTTGCCTGACTCAATGCGTGATGAAGGCTTCAAGGTGCAAGGAGTTTTGTATCAGCTACGCCTCAATCCAGAGGAGCCTGACATCGTCCGCATCTACACTGATGAGGATTCGATCCCAGCTCTCGAAGGTGAGGCCCTCCGAAAGTTCAAGCAAGTCACTGACTTTCAGGGGGGAGCTGAATCAGGTGTGAAAGACAAGAAGGGAACCAAGATTCGCACTGCTGAGGTACCACCAGCCAAACGAACTGGTGAAGAACAACCGCAGGAGCCCAAGCCCAAAGCATCCAAGAAGTCCTCAGAAGAGACTGCATCATCATCGTCGGACGTACGCCCGGCGGGAGCCGAGGCCGCTGCTGTTGAGAAACCGGCACCGAAGCCTCAGCCAAAGCCAACTGAACGCCCGGCGGGAGCCGTGGCCGATTCAACCACTCCTGCCACGGAGAAACCTGCAGTCAAGGCGAAGGCGATGCCCAAGGCTCCGCCGAAGGCTCCGCCTATGCCGAAAGGTGCCACATCACCTCTATCAGAGAACCAGGTGGTGGCACTACAGTCCAGGGAAGTGCCCGGAGCCTCCAGACTGGACCACCTCAGCTCCGACCAAGTATGGCTATCGCGCCGAATCTCTGGTCTGCTGCGTGGGTGGGAGCACACGAACAAACGGAACCGTGTCCCACCGCCGGCTTTCCAGAAGGGACTTTGGATGGAGTTCAGCCATGTCTACATGTACATCAAGAAGAAGTACAGACCGTCGCTGACCATCGATGACATGCTGGTTGTCCTTACGAGCAACCATCGTTTCACGATGGAGATCAAGGTGGCGCCAAAGGGGACTTTGGTCGGGGGAAAGAGGCCGTACACGCCAATGCGACTCAAAGCCATTCAGCATCACAACGACTGGTCTTACCAGAACGTGGAAGAAGCGCTGCCAGAGCATGAGCGCTTCATCGTGCTGGATCCGGAGTATGGCGTGGCCGAATACAACAGCGGCAAATTCCCTCGTATGCCAGTCAATGCCCATGGACGTGTCGAGGACATTCAGCCGACGATCGTCTATCACTATACGCACCATGCATCAGCACGACAGACTATGCAGCAATGGCATCTACTCGGCCAGTGTGCATAGCTCTCGATTTGCATATGATGGCAGTACATGGACATCGCCTCGTGGAAACGACGGCCGGCACAATTCTTTGCCCTGACTGGATCTCCTGCCGCTATGTCATGTTTGTGTATGACATGTCGAATGCGCGCTACTTGTATGCCAACCACGTGTATGCCCATTACCGTGCGATCTTTCAAAAGAAGAAGAAGGCATTCTTTGAAGCACGCAGCGGGGGACCGCTTGCCGGAGATGAAGAGTTGATTACGTCAAAGCTGGAATCTTCCACCAAAGACGTTCTCGATGACTATGAAAGATGGTGTGGCAAGGTGACCACATTCCATCCTTTCATCTTCGGTGGTCAGTATCAAGTGCAGGGTGTCAAGGATCAAATGAAGGCTGGTAAGAATCTGCCGGACCTCAATGTGCTCGAGACAATGTATGTCACCCGGCGGCCAAATTTCCGGGCGAATCGCAACAGCATTAGCCCCACGGAGATGCTGCCGAACTACAACTGGCCCAGATTCGACTTCAGAGCCTGTGATCCAACGAAAGAGGGTTATGGCAAGACGCAATGGCTTGTAGTGGAAGGAATTCAAATGCCTGAAGGGCACTGCCCTACTTGTGAAATCCATTTCACTTTCGGCACAATGAGTTGCGGCCAATGCGGTACTTTCTTGAACACCGCATCGGATCTTTGCAAAGCCGCCCAGGTCATTCGAATGGAAGAGATCGCCTCTGAGATGGGCGTCGAACTCTCACTCGATATGGTCCAGGAAGATCGGCTGCAAGGAACCGGCATTCGCAACACGCCTGCGGGGACGCATGGCCATGATCCTAGAGCAAATCGATCAGGCATCAACATCCTGAAAACCAATGCTCGGAGCCATGTGAACAAAGCAGACAAGATGGGCATGACCATTTCGCAGAGACAGTTGACAGATCCTCTGTACGCCTTCAACTGCGCAGCTCAAGATCTTTCACCGCTCTGCATCAGCCTCTTGGAGAAATTAGCAAATGCGGTCATTCCTGACCCTCCAAGAACACATCAGATGATCATGCAGGGGGTCGGCCATCGCTATGCTGGAAAGCTGATCTACATCAACGATCCTGAGAAGGTGGGAGAGGCAGACATGAGCAAAGATTTTCTGGTGTATTGGAAAAACAGACTCTACCGACCTGAGATCTTTGCAGCAAGCTATGCCCAGAACACAAAGCGTCCACCGATATTGGGATTCCACTCTGAGTGGAAGACTGATGAGAAGGATCCAGATGAGCTTCTTCAGCTCCTGCTCGACTTTATCGCTGAGGACATAGCCTTCATTCCGAATGTCGACTTGCAACTTGGCAAAGAGACCAGGACCATGATAGTTCCTCGAGCGAAAGCAGACTCCGCATCAGCCAAAGCCCTTGCGAGGGCTGCACAGGATCAAGCACGTGCTCACGAAGATTGGCACCAGACTCAATGGTCATCCGCGTCTTCATCGTGGAATCGCGACCGGGACTGGAGCCAAGGGTGGTGGCAAGATCGCTCAAGCCAATGGCAGCGTGATGATCGCTGGAACCGTGATTGGTGGAGCTCTCGCAACTGGTAGAAACATCCGCACGACGGGAGTCGTTGCCTTTGGATTCAAAATCGAAAACCAAACAAAAAGGAAACATCCAATAGGCTGCATGGCTCTCAAATGTGAGGTTGTTCTTCCTCCATCGCACCGCGGGAGCGGTTGCCGTCGATGATCGCTTCTGTGATGCACCGGGGGACCGGATGCCGAACTTCGCTTTTGCACCAGCATGGTATAATTCGTATGTTGAAGGTCGAAGTACCTGTGACATTGCAAGTCCAAGAGACGCACATTTTTTTGTAGTGCTGATTCGCCACGCGGGAGCGTGTGCCGACCGGTGATGCTTCTGCTTTCTCAAAGGCCAATCGTGCACTTACCGCTTGATGCGTCAAAAGATCGTGCTGTTTCTTCATGAGATGACTCAATACATGTATAGCTTTGCAGTACGAGTGAACACTAGCATGAACTTGACAGTGACTTTCGTGCCCTTTGAGGTCAACTATCCTCTCCATCTCAAAGGCAGGAACCGGTTTCGTCCGAATCGCACGTACCGGGGGACCGGCTACCTTCGTAGGTCCCAATTCACTGTACATAGTCTTCACTCCTCCCCATTTTCGTTCAGCGGGGGGTGTAGTTTCACGCTAGCATATTGACATTTACGTCTCACTCGTACGACTTTGGCTCAAGGAAAACAAGGTGCGACTAGGTGGCGCTTCTAGGTCGTTTTCCTGTAACTACATTTGTTAATCTATTTTTTTGATAACTTGTTTGCCTCTGCCTGCCTCTGCCCTTGTTTTAGGCGGCTTCTTCCAGTGGTATGGCATGGGAGAGTCATTGCTGGAATGAAATGAAAGAGCAACAACGTTATGAATGACCTTCATGGGAATCAAGATGCTTTCGGCGCCACGACCTTCAGGCTGTTAAGTTTCATGTGAGTCCTTTATGTCTCACTTATCTCTCCCACCCACTGCTGCTAATCGGCGAAGCCATCCTCAATGAAGCCATCGCAGGACGCATGTGCCGCGGCCGCGCGAAGCATCACGGAAGCAGAAGTGTTCATTTTCCGCCTCCCGGATCAATGGCTGACTGCTTGGGCGGTTGTTGGGCTTGGGCTTGACAGCCTGTAATATAAGCTTATGGAAGCTGATGGAAGCATACGGTGAACCAACGTATTCACACCAGATGAAGTGCATTTTTTTGTGTCTTCAAAGAGTCTGGTCTGCTTGGAATGGCTCCACCTCAAACATGGGAAGCAAACCACCCACACGATTCAATACCGTCATGCAGCCACTTCATCATGACCCTCTCAATGATCCCCTCAATCCTCCTATAGACCATATAAGATGATCCTTTTGACTTCACATGTCTCTATAGGTGCTTGAAACGACTGCGCTCAGAACAGCCCTCTTCGCCCCGAGTCAATGGCGCCGGGTGGTCCGCCGACAGCGGCCTGGCGGTCTATGCGGACGTGGCCAAGGCAGCGTTTGGATGGTGATGGGTCTTAGGTCTGTCCAAAACCTGTAACAGTTGGTAAAGGGTCTTAATTTGCGTTAATTATCCCTACAGAAAGGTCTGCAACTGAACCATCACCCGGGACGAGGATATACCATGATATACCCAAAGGATGGGTTATCATGGTCATCCTAGCTCGTGGAATTCATGACTATTGCAGGGAGTGTATGGGTTTCAACATGGTATTCGAGTGAGGAATAGGATGGTTCTCTCTTCTATTCACTTGGCGTAAATTCCAGCATGTTCTTTGAGGTGTTCAAATCATCTTCCATCAACACTCACCCCATGGTCTACCGGTAAGATTCCTGGCATTCTCGTCGTCACTGCGAGGAATCTTTTCAAACCAGATAGAAACTTCTTGAGGGCACAGCAACAACACAACTTGTACAGCCTTACGCAGTCACGTCTTGGACTTACACCACAACAGAAGACTAGTCTGACATAGCTTAGCTTCTTACATCTTACCCAGTCACTTCTTTCATGAATGCCTTGGAACGTTTTTTGCCAAAGCAACGTCTGACGTCTCAGCCGTCGTCTTGGCCGTCAGGTGCCGGTCTACTCGAAACGGGGGCTCACGTACCAGGACGGGAGAAACCACCATTTAGACTAACGGTGATGGGTTGAGGGGAAGGCAGGAAGGCACATGGGAGCGTTTTGATTGTGGACGCAAGAAGGGCCCAACGAAACATGGGGATCAAGGCTCAAGGTTTTGTGTTTTTCTTGTCAATGCTATATTCCATGTTGCTCGAAATGTTTATTTGCTTGGGGCCCCAAGCAGTTCCGGTGGATGACCGCTGACATGTCAATTGGCTTTTATCGCCACAACCATACAAGTGTTCCCTGCAATGCCTACAGCATCCTACAGCCATAGCAACGTGCTAAGAACAATTTGACTAGTTGTTCAGAATCATGGACCTGCGCCACCTCAGTCAGGTTGCGGATGAAAGATCGATTGCAAATGCCTTCAATGGTAGTAAGATGTCGTATATAAGGATGTCATTGCTGTTTCTATCTTAAACAACAGGCACCTCGGGGAAAACATGTCACCTCCTCCTGAAGTCGTCGTGGAGCTGCGTCACCTCCTCACCTTGGCTTTGCTCTTCCTTTGCACACCACAGTCGCATCATGTCCGACTCAGGACATTTGTCAGCCACATTGGCTCTTCAAAGAGCCGCAGCTCTTCTGGGGATTCTGGGGACAATGTTGCTCAGCAGCCGTGAGCATTGCGAGCGACGGGTCGTGACCAGCGAAGTTGGCTGGGTGGAGACTCATAGGCTATGGTTTGCATATCATGTTTGTATGTTTTTGTGTGAGAGATCAACAGGATGGGCTTTGGTTTCTTTGGTTTCTGGTGGGTTGTTCAACAAAGCTGGAATTGAATATGCACTGGATTAAAGCTTAGGGTCTGTCCGTCATATGATAATTGTTCAAACAGCAACGGTACTATCATTGCCATGGTTTACACAGGAATGGACACTAGATTTGACACACGCACATACACACACAGAGACACGGTGGGTCCAACCCTTCCTGGCATCCAAACAAATTGGACCCTCTTTTTCACGCCCGGCACGAATGGTCCACGCGGCGCGGTTATTCGTCACGCCTCCACCCGACCTCGTCGCGCCCTGAGGTTACAACGACTACCGCCTCACGGATCCGCACGAAGGCTATGAGATGGTGCACCACTGGGTGACTGGGCGGTGCAGAGAGGGAGAGTGTTTGATCCACAGCGGTCGGAGGTGAGCCGCTCGGCCGGACCCGGCGGTCGCCCGGACGAGGTGGGGAAGCTCTTCCGACACACGAAGGTCGCCAAGGAGCTCCAGCAGCGGTGCCGGGAGAAAGCTCGGGACCAGGACGATCCGCGGAAGGGGCGGGGGGCTCCGCAGCGGGGGGTTCGATGACCGGAGCTTGCCAGATTTATAGTCGGATGATGTCGGATGTATCTGGTATGCCTCATGGTTGCAAGCACCTGAGTTGGTGAATGCAGAAATGCACAGGATTTTTGTTGGATGTCGTGTCCGATTCTTTTCCATTAAGGTGTTCAAAGGACTCCCGATGGCGATCTCAGAAACGAAGGACGGTGGAAGACGGTGGTCATTTGGCATATTTCCTGAGTTGACCACCAAAAATGAACAGAATGAACTATTAAGGAGGTCGACCTACCCTGGTTGGGGGATATGGGTTTTGACTCACAGCCATTTTTTGCCTTTCACGGAGAGACCGGGCTTAAGACAAAGGCATTACTGCCAGTAACTCGCTACTAGTAGCAAGGACGCTATACTAGTAGCGATGCACCTTGTGGCTAGTAGCAAGAAGCTACTAGTAGTAATGGCCTCCACCCTACTAGCGATGGCCTCCAACCTAATAGCGATGGCCTCCTACCTACTGGCGATGGCCTCCACCCGGGCTACTACCCATGGCCTCCACCGTACTAGCGATCGCCTCCAACCTATCCCTACTAGCGATGGCCTCCAACCTAGTGCGTTTGTTTGTCTCGGTGGGGCAGGACACACGGATGAACACACCCACGATGTCAATAGCGCAGTCTCCTTCAGGCTACATATCCGACATCGCCAATGCCTAGCTCCGAATCCACACGGACAATCATACACACGAGGTCCTAAAAGGAAGCTACTAGTAGCAGGTGCATCGCTAGTAGTAACAAGTGCCTTACTAGTAGTAACAATCAAAAGGTCTTTAAAAGATCTCAAAAACACAGCATTCTGGGGCGAAAGTGTGGCCTCCCCAAGCTATATGCTAACAGTTGATCTTCCAGTCTATGCGAAACAACGCCGTGCGGGCGGACTTTGCCGTTTTCACTTCGGCTTCGAGACGTAGGACGAAGTCGGTGGCACGGCTGCAGCATCTGGGGGGCATCGGGGATCAGAGGGCAACGAACCACATGAGGACTTCAAAACATATTATGACTGGTGGACTAATGTTTAGATGACCGGTTTCAGGATGATTGTTCCTTTTAATGGTTGTAGTTGATGTTTTCTGTTGGTGTCGTTACCGGGTTCTTGACCTGGAAGAGTGTTTTGTTACCTCCTCATTCGGTCACTTGAGAGTGAACAAGCTTGGTCGGTTGGTCCCTTGTGTGGGACTTCTTGAAGTCCAACGACGTAACGATTTGGTAGAGAATTTGACTTGAGAAACCGCAAGCTAGACCTCTGACCATTTTGACTGAACTCTTCTGGGATCACCAAGATCCAGATGCCTACTGAGAAAGCAAGAGAAAACACCCTTGTTACTAGTATTGGCCTCCAACCTACTTGGCCTCTCCAGTTTCTGACGATAAAGGTGGATCCCTGGAGACAAGTGAAGCAGCAAAAAGGGAGACAAACAGTGCGTTCTTTTTCGAGGTCCCTACGAAGTGAAAGGACGTGCAGGTGGGTACATGGCAGAACTGTGGAAAGAGCTATGAAGAATAGACTAGTTTCATAAGAACAGTCCTGAATAGACTCTCTAGAGATTCCGGAACAATAGACTCTAGGATTTTGTTCCGCATTTTTTTTGTTGGTTGGTCTTGTGGATGAAACGGCTGCATGACACCAATATTGAGCCTTTCGAGGTGTTCTCGAGGTGCTGGACATTGGCTGTATGTTGTTTGGGACTTCCAAAACTAAACCGTCGTGGGAAAAACTCCAAACTTTGCAGACGTCTAGCTCAATCTAATATCAACGTGCAGTTGATGATTGGACAGTTGTATGTATGAATTTTTAGTCATTTTCCACCAATTCCTGGAGTGTTTTACGCATGAATTAGACAAGACAAGTCCGAGAACCAGTTTTGTCCGCAGGTGCCTTTCACGTCTTCACGTCCAATGTGGATGCGCACCACTATGATTGGCGCCTGAGCTGCAGGGCCGAACCTGTAAAGTCGCGACCGGCGTCACGGAGTGTCGGGTTACCCCAACCCAAACGCGGTGGAAACCCAGTGTAGCTCCAAAAAGCCTGTTTTGCAAACTGAAGAAACAAAAAAACTAATCGTTGCTACTAGCAACCAAGGGCATCGCTACTGGGAGCAGAAGCTACTAGGCCATTGCTATTAATTAGGTTGGAGGCCATCGCTACTAGTAACAAGAAGCTACTAGTACAAGTGACGAAAAGCTCAAACGACTCAAATATCAACGGCTGCCATCACGATGAGGTTCCCCGCCTGTGAGATCCGCGAGTGCCATGGCAATACTGAGATTTACCAATGCGCTGGCTCGAGGATGCGGAAGGGATTCTGCATCCTCAGGGTCAGTCAGTGATCATCAGTGATGGGTATGGTATTGCGCTCTCTCTGTGGTTTTCATGGAGTGAATGGCTTGAGATTGACTTTTCTCGGAGGGTGCCTGTTCTTTGTAAATGTATAATTAAAAGACAGTTTAGTAGCTAGAAGCTACTAGGTTGAAGGCCATCGCGTTTGTCGGTTGGAGGCCATCGCTAATTACTAGGGTCGAGGCCATCGCTACTAGTAGCTAGAAGCCCTTGTTCAAGCATGATGTGACCTTTCCAGCTCTTCTCCCCATCGTCCTTGAACCGTTGACAGGAGTATGGGGGGCTTGCGCGACATGGACGAACGATGCGCTTCGGGTTGCAGTCAAGTCGCCCACTCGTCTCGGCATCGTTGGATTAAGTGCATGAGGATTGTGCGGTGAACTGGTCATGGGAAACTAATAGCAATGGCCTTAACTAATAGCGTCCTTGCTCCTAGTAGTAGGGCCAGGAGCCCCTAGTAGCGTCCTTGCTCCTAGTAGCGATGCCCTTTGCTCCTAGTAGCTATTTGCTCGTTGGATTAGGTGGGATTCAATAGGTCCGTTTCAATTTTTTAGTCTAAGCGGGGCGGTTCGCGAATGCGCCAACCATTGGCCACGGCCGCAGCGTTCGTTCAGGTCCGGGCATTTGGCGCGCTCCCTTGGAGTACCGCGGCATGGTTTTCTCGCGCTGAGGAAATGCGCATGGGAACCGTTGGGACCCATCCCGGCAACTACTAACAAGTGCCTCGCTAGTAGTAACAAGTGCCTTACTACTAGTAACAAAAAGCTATTAGAATTAAATAGTTTCTAATAGCTTCTTGTTACTACTAGTAAGGCACTTGTTACTAGTAGCGATGCACTTGTTACTAGTAGCTTCTTGTTGCTAATATGTAACCCAGACACGACTAATGGGACTGCCATATATGCCTACATTGGGGTGGTTTTGGCGGTCAATGTAGGCATATATGGCAGTCCCATTAGTCGTGTCTGGGAAACAAAAAACAATAACACCTGGAATACCTGGGATTTTGCAGTGACCCGGCCACTAATTGTTCCTTCTAATATAACTAGACATGTACGATAATAGTCTTTGTCCCACGGTCCGGTGCTGTCCAGGGATGGTCTTTGTTTGATTCATTCTTATTCACCGGCCCTGCTGACCCTTCCCCATCCAGAGGCCCTGAATTTCTGAATCAATAGATTGCTTGAAGGGAAAATCTTCTGGAAACCCTGCTTTTCACTCCCAAAACTATGAGGCTTCCTGTAGATGTTCCCAATTCTGCAAGTTCCGTGTAGCTTTGGATCATGTAGCTCCCAACTCTCCCAGTAAAATTTATCTTGCAAGTTCGTGAACCATTTCTTCACCCGAAACAGCATTCCCTGAGGTATCGTTTCCATGTGGACAAAGAGACCATGCTTGCTCCAAAGGCTCGAACCCGTCGAGACCAAAACGAGAGGGTGGAGACGCCAGAGAGCTTCTCGTTGCCCGAAAACATGGGTCGCTGAAGGTCTCTGAAGGGTGTTCACCATGGGTCACCATGGGTCTTTGCTGATTCTCTTGATGTGAGAGTTTGTGGAGCTCTGGCAAAGGCCAAGGCAGGCATTCGCCACTCCACGAACCACTTGACTGTGCACATTGATTTGTTATTTAATTAATTGTTTGATCATTGAGATTGATGGTTGTTGAGTTGAGTTGACAGTTAACTCTGGACCTCTTCAGCTTTGGAGGCAGGTTGCCAAACTGCAAAGTAGTCAGTCAAGAAAGATCTGACACAAAGCACAATGTCAACCAACACCAGTGCCATTCTCCTCCAGAAAGTCAAACCGGATTGAAGTCCAACCATGAAGACAGAGGGTTGCCAGAACATGTACAAATGGGCTTTGCAACCAAATCATGCCCCAAAGGTTAAGTTCATTCATGGAGCAAGGACGCTACTAGGGGCTCCTGGCCTTACTACTAGGAGCAAGGACGCTACTAGGTTTCATTAAGTTCATTCATGGAGCAACACTTCAGTTCGCCATTTGGGAGCTTTCTGGCAATCATGTTTCTTCACCGTTGAGCTTCCTGTTGCTCAAGTGGAGATTCAAATCGCACGCCAAAGCTTCAGACACTTTTGAACTCATCATCCTCGTCACCAAGAAACCCTTCACTTGAACATCAGCTCAAGTATTGACTTGCAGGCCATCGGCCATCGCTATTAGGTTGATTGATTCAACGGCGGACTCGGACCAGCAAAGAATCCAAGCTTACGAGCCAGCACACAGGCCAATCAATGCTTGCTTGAGGAGTGACCATCATCAAGTCAGTCAACAGTGAAGTATGTCAGGATGCCCAAGCTGATTGTGAAAAACTTCAACTGAACAAATGGGCCCTCTCAAACGAAAATAGGTGAGACAAGTAGCTAGACCAGTGGTCTACTAGACCAGCTCAAATGAATAGTTACATGGTTGTTTGTGAAGTCAGCCAAACTTCAGAGTGAATTAAAGTATATTAAATCTATAGAGTTGACAGTCAAGTAGTGAATTAATGTATAACAGCTAGCTAGCTGTGTCAACAGTTAAGTTAAGTAATGTTAAATCATACTGGATAGCCAGTAGACGAGTCCTTGCACTAGAAGCTAACTAGTAGCTAGTAGCTTACTCTGTTGATTAACTAGGCGCCTACTTAATTAAGGTTGGAGGCCATCGCCATGAGGTTGGAGGCGAGGAGGGAGCGGGCTAACGCCCCCCATCACCCCCTCCACGCCAGGAAGCGCCCGAGGAGGCCTTCGAAGTTGAGACGAACCATTGGGCGCCACCCCAAGGTGTGGAGACCACGCGCACTACATGGGGACCCTGTTGGATCCGGGGAAAAGCGTTGAAGAAGACGAAACCGAAACCTACTAGCGATGGCTTCCAACATCTTTGTTTTTCTTTGCAGGAACTTCTCTGGGTTTTCTGGCTTCAGATTATTTTTATTTTTAAGATGTTGGAACCCTGTTGCAAGGCATTTTTTTTTTTCCCTAGTCACCCCGTTTGATGGCTCCAGCCCCTACGTTTCTGCCAGGGGATGAGGACCCCATGTCGACCGTGCCCCGTGTGGGTCGAGTCACAGGATCTGTGGCTTGGCGATCGGATCGGCGGCCTTGGGAATTTGTGGGTCAAGTCCTAGACTAGTAGTAAGGCCAGGAGCTACTAGTAGCGTCCTTGCTCCTAGTAGCGATGCCCTTTGTTACTAGGAGCTTCTTAATGTCCAATACTAGCGATGGCCTCCAACCTACGAGCGATGGCCTCCAACCTAGCTTTCACTCCAATTCACAAAGCTGAACTGGGAAAGGGACGATTCAACGATCACCTTTGAATCAGAATGCAGAAAAAAACATGGGAATTCCGAGTGACCTGAATGGGGAAGGAGAGAGCTGGGACACGCATCAACATCGACTCGACTGGTTTTCCTGATATGTTGGAAGGCAACAAGCGTCCTGCGTCCAATATGGTGCGGAGTGTTTCAACAACGACATGAATGAATGGTGTGCTGTGTTGAAGCCACAAAGCAAAATCTCTCAAGTCCCAAAGCCAATCTCAGCTTGTATTTGCACTCTTCCCATGTCACTCATCTCATCAACTCCAGATTATCAGATTATTACTTACTGTACGTATTTGTAAGTTATGAATTTCTGTAACCCTCCCCTTTCTCAGGCTTCTTCTTCCTTATGTTCCCTTCCTTGAGTCTACGGAAAACAACAACAACAACAACAACAACAACAACAACAACAACAACAACACCAGCAACAACAACAACAACAACAACAACAACCACAAACACAAACACAAACACAAACACTACCCCTCGTTCCCCCTCCGTTTCTGTCGTCCTCACCGGAAGTCCCCTCGCCCGTGACTGACCCGAGGCGCGGCGCCACACGCTGCGCTTCATGCGAAGCGGCGCGGTGGTGGCCGAGAGCCCCGCGAGCGCCGCCAAGCGCGGCTTCGCCGCCAACCACCCGGTGCGGCCTGCGGCAAGTCATTGTCATTGTCTTGTTGGACAATTCCCAACTGATTCGCTGTTCTTGGCATGCAGTCCTTGCCGGCCATGGTCATATGTGTGGATGCCCAGCAGGTTTGCCCAGAATGTGGTGGCCCTGCACGACCGGCTATCTTGATGTTTGGCACCTTGGTCTCATTTGTTGGCACCGCTCAGCGAGTTCCACCTCCGTCGAGCTGGCGAAATCGAACTTGCAGGGCCCCAAACCGACCAGTTCAGCTTGGATGACATTCGACCAGTTCACTTCACCGTCCAAAGGATTCGACCCGACCGAAACTGGGCGAACCGAAAACAACCGACCGAACCGACTTGGACGAAGCAGTTCGCGTGCCTCCCGAGATGCGAAGCTCCCGCGACCGGCGCGAGCGATTCCCGAGGTGATTATTCTTGGCGAGACAATGATGCTCAGGAGGACAGGATGCTCAGGAGGATGAGGGACACGGGTTGGGTGATTTGCTCCGTGTTTCACGGGAGACCAATTTGCAGTCAAGGTCATACATCAGTGGCGCCTTTGGTAGGGAAGTGCTACCAGAATAGCCAAATGGACCAACATATGTGTGTTAGCCCGTGGACACATCATGTTGCCGATGTTGCTGAGTGTCCCGATCGATTGCGTACGTGGTGCAAGTACTTGCACGTCGGATTGTTTGGGCAGAAAGGGCCCTAATTTTGGTCCCTGTTGTTTCTCAGTACAGGAATCAACTATGTCCTTCAACTCCGTCGCGAGAAACTTGTATCCAAAGAACATCTTCATTCCTTCACTCAGCTAACCTGGTTACTTGAGCTTCATCATCTCACAGACACACCTGACTCTCGGCTTGGCGACGACCTGCCACCTCCTCCGCACCGGAGCGTACAACGCGGCGCATCAGGACCGCTGGGAGACCTGGCTGGATCAGGTCAACGACTTGGCCACGGAGCGTGCCTCGGCGCTAGGACAAGACGCCGTTGATTTCTTGCACGCCTTCACCCCCCCCTCACCCTCCCTTCTGCTTCTTAAAGGCTAGAAGATGAAGAGATAAACCTCCCGATTCGGAAAAACATTGTCTCGCTTCAGGGCGAAACTGATTCTTGGAGTGACTTTCGCATTCTCAGATTTCCCCAGGCCTCGAGGGGTTGTTAGAGGTTCGACGTCGCAAGCGGTCAATGTGAGGGACCGCTGACTTCAACCCACTGCGTGTGGCTTTGCTGGAGGCTGGGCTGGGCTGTCTTCGGGCCAGTCGTAAGCCTTGGAAACCTCCTCTCCCGAGCGGCTGGCTGTTGAGATTGTGTGGTCGGATTCCGTGGCTTTTTGTCTTCTATTTTGGCAATTTCACGCAGCTTGCTATTTGAGAGCAAAACTGGATTGGTGTGATCGCTGTGATCCCTTCATCCATTCTCCCAAAACATCATTTTGTTGTGGCCAGTTGTGTTTTCGAGTGAACCCTGAACTCTATGACAAGACGTATTTTTGGCTCTTTTCCTGGCCGGTCTTTGCTCCAGAATTGGATTCGGAGGAAGACCAGGTAGTAGACCAGTTCCAATTTTACTTGACCTGGATCAACGGTAAACGGTTTACTAGTCTTAAACGACCAGAGGTCCAATCGGTTAAGCATTTGTCATTGTGGGGTGGGAGGGTGAACAACAAGTTGTACAACAAGCAAGTAGAAAATGCTGTGGTTGCCCAGGCTAGAGATCCCTTTAGAGATCCCTTTTGTTCTCCAGGGAGGTTTGTGTTTCAGGCCAAGAACGCAAAAGGAGGAGGCGGACTGGCCCAGGTTTCTTCATGTTGGTTCTTTCTAGCCCATTACCAGTAACAGTCAGTAAAATATGTTTATTTGTATTTTTGAGACAAGCCTTTACAACATTCATCCACTGTTACTGGTAGGGGGATATACGCAAGTTCTTGCTCTTAGTTGCACGCCTGAAACGACCTACGTCGAACAGAGGTGTTTGATTTTGGGGCGAGTTTTGAGCTTCAAATCCAGTATGGAGATCAGAGCCGTGTCTGGCGCAACAGTTGCTAGACTTGAGGATGCATTGTGTGGCATGGTGGAAGCTGGCTCTTCTGTTGGAGAGCTGAAACAATTTCTTGCAGCTCGTGTTGGATGCTCAAGGTTTCGGCAGAGACTCTTGAGCGATGCGGGACGACGAAAAACATTACATGAGTTATGTGTTCCAGGAACGGTGCAGGAACGGTTCCAGTCAACTGCGAACTGTGGGTGCGTACAAGCACCTTGGTACCTGGCTCCAGGGTGGAGCGGGAATTGCCAAAGACTTGGCCATGAAGTTCGCGGTTGCACATGATCTTGTGACAAAATACCGGGCTACCATTTTTGCTAACAGAAAGATGCCACTTGAAAAGAAGAGGCAACTTTTTGAAATGATGATCATGAGTACGATCATCTTCAATGCTGCGGTTTGGTGTCCCCGTAATAAGAGGCAAGCTGCACAGACCGAAGCGGCCTTCATGAGGTTGTACAAGCGTGTCACTGCATTACATTTCGGACAGCAAGCAGTCCAATGGTCTCAGACTAGGATCCTGAATGCTTTTGGCCTGCCTGATCCGGCGTTCACCATCCGAAGATCACGACTTAGATATCTTCTGCAACTAGCACAAGTTGGCCAGCCGCACACATGGGCTCTTCTGCAGACTGATGCTCTATGGAAGCAGCAAGTCAACGAAGATTTATCCTGCCTGAATGACTATTGTCCTGAAGATGAAGTGCCTTTTCCTATTGAGGAATACTGGAACCAGCTGATCGCCTTCATGTTGGAGTCGCCGGGTCGCTGGAAGAAGATCCTCAAAAAAATGATACATCGGCACATTTCAATCCGGCAGATCGATTGTGAATGGAATGCATGGCATTCTGCTGTTATGCAGGACGTTCTCGAATCAGGTTTTGGTCATCGACCACAACGGGTTGTTGAAGCACAGCAGCACTACTGCCTGGCATGTCGCCAAACTTTTGTACGAAGAAGTGCATTGACAGTCCACGCTTTTAAAAAGCACGGGAGAGTCAACCAAGTTCGCGATTTTGTCCAGGGCACTCAGTGCGAGAGATGCTTACGAGTTTATGACAGGTACACTGACCTTGTCAATCATGTCAAACGCTCCACAGCTTGCTTTGATTTTTACAAAGGAAGAAGATGGCATGTGGCCAGGCAACCAGGAGTCAACAGCCGACAGGAGAATCGGAACCGTAGGGACCTCCGAGCACCTGTGCTGCAAGCTGAAGGTCCTCAATGTGCACCGCCACCTCCTTTTGAGGAAGAAGCACAAATTGAGCAGTTAGAGCTCTGGCAAGCATGGGATACAGCGTCCTCCGAGCTGAGTGATCCTGACCAATGGCTAGATAGATTAAGGACTGCCACCCTGACTACATGGCTATACCACGAAGAAATCTTGCAATGTTTTTCTGCTTGGTGGGAGCGATGGTGCCATGACAATCAAACATGCCGATTATCTGACCTGGTTATCCATGGACGGTTTACAAGCCTCGCTTCTGCTGCTTGGTTTCTTCATGGTGATCTCAAGGAAAGATATATTCAAGAAGACCCTCTTCAGTTTTTTGAGCGTGAGGCTTGGATCTTTAACGATGTGCTCTGGAGTCCTCCTAAAGCGATCAAGTACTTTCCACGAGTCGTTGCCCATCTCTTTTCTGGTGAACGCAGAAAAGGGGATGTCCAGGCCTTTCTTGAAGCTGCTGGATTTGAAGCCCTTTCAATTGATGTTGTGTTCGACCTTGAATGGGGGAATCTCCTCCGACCTGAAACACTAGCACTCTTCCAGAGGTCGCTCAGAGAACGGACGCTCCTTGGTTTTATCGCAGGTCCTCCATGCGAAACTTGGAGCAGGGCCAGGGCGGTGGTGTTAGCAGGTAGGTCAAACGGACCTAGGGTAGTTAGATCTAGATACAGACTTCAAGGGATTAAGAGTTTGAACCGCAAAGAGGCTCAGCAAGTATCAATTGGCAACCAGCTCCTCGGTGTCACGCTGGTGCTGGTCTGGTCTGCCATTGTTCACGGGGCCACGGCTGTGGTCGAGCATCCGGCGCAGCCGGAAGAGGAGACACTGCCATCGATTTGGCATCTACCCGTGATTGCTTTTTTTCTCCGATTCCAATGCTGTAAGAAAATCCGAATCGAGCAAGGGAGATTTGGAGGACTTTCCCCCAAGCCAACGGACCTTCTTGTTGTGCATGGCATCGATGACGTAGCTGGCTTCTTTGTACAACATAGAACGACACCTCTCCCTCAGACTTCCAGAATTGGGAAGGATGAGGACGGTAGCTGGCGCACCAGTGTTTTGAAGCGCTATCCACCGGACCTATGCAAGGCCCTGGCGCTTCTTTTCAACCTCAGCCAACCTGAGGAAGAGGTTTCAGAAGAAATCCCGAGCTGGTTTGCTGCGGCAGTCGACAAGCTGAAAGCGCATTTCAGCGAGGAGGCCGTACAGGGGCCCGACTACTGTCCGCGCGCCGCTCGTGGTGACACTTTTAATTAATGCATGCAATGTCACAAGCACCGCTTACGGCAATGCGAAATGGAAAAAATGGAAAATTTTGAGACAAGCCTTTACAACATTCATCCACTGTTACTGGTAGGGGGATATACGCAAGTTCTTGCTCTTAGTTGCACGCCTGAAACGACCTACGTCGAACAGAGGTGTTTGATTTTGGGGCGAGTTTTGAGCTTCAAATCCAGTATGGAGATCAGAGCCGTGTCTGGCGCAACAGTTGCTAGACTTGAGGATGCATTGTGTGGCATGGTGGAAGCTGGCTCTTCTGTTGGAGAGCTGAAACAATTTCTTGCAGCTCGTGTTGGATGCTCAAGGTTTCGGCAGAGACTCTTGAGCGATGCGGGACGACGAAAAACATTACATGAGTTATGTGTTCCAGGAACGGTGCATTTGGTACTGTTAAGTTATTGTCCTGCTGACGAGAGCCTTGCTCGGAAGCTGCTGAGCACCTGTGAGCAGAACCAGCTAGACAAATTATTGAAAGTGCTTCAAAGACCTATTAACCCTAATTTGAGAGATGCAACTCAGACAACAGCGTTGCACATTGCCGCCAATCGCGGTTGCCTGGAATGTTTGCGATTGTTGCTGGAGGCAGGGGCTGACACAGAGGCAGTAAACGCACTTGGCGTAACTGCATTGTACATGGCAGCCCAAGGAGGCCACTTGGAAGTTGTGCGCTAGTTGCTCGACGCTGGAGCTGACAATGGAAAAACGGCATTGCACATTGCAGCGCAACTAGGCAACCTGGAATTTGCGCGACTTTTGCTTGAGACTGGAGCTGACAAAGATGCCGAGAATGGAGTCAGGGCAATGCCTTTGTCCATTGCAGCTGACAAAGGCTATCTGGAAGTCGTGCAATTGTTACAGGAGCAGGGTGCGAAGTACATAGTATGGCAGTCCATGATGGTAGCAAGGTGGAAGATATGTGTTTGTTGCGTAAGTCGCGTGCAAATCGTAGATGCTGCGGCTTGGGAGTGCTCACGATGGTTGCTTTGCAGCTTGACTGAGACTGGTCACTTTCGAGACTAGACTATAGAGTCTTGACTAGAGCTGCTGGAAGACAAATCGTTCAATGCCACTGTGCAGCTGCGGCTGTGAAAAGACGACTGGAGACTGTTTATGTGTTTTGTTTCAGGGCTCCAAGTTGATACAGGGCCATCCCGCAGCACATGACAGCATCATTGTTCTGCCAGGTGGGCGCAGGCAACAATGTGCCTTAGTTGCAATTGATCAGCTTCCGAGTTCGCTCATCAAACATGTTTGTTTATAGTTTTTTGTTCCTGTTTCCTTACCTGGGCATAGGGACATTTCCGTGTTTTGTGGTCCAGCTCCATTTTGATGGTTTTGATGCACTAGCCATTGGCTAAGTATAACCAGAATGGTCATTTTGCTGGACAGCCAGACCTTAAATGGGCTTTATATATAGCTCATGTCAGATTTGTCTTGCCAACTTCCTGCAAGCGACAGTGGCTCCAAGGCTTTACCTCTCATTTCCACAGAAGTACATCCTCCATTTCTTGCAAACCGACACGGAGTCCCTAGAAACTAACGAAGCCAGTTCTGATACTAGATACATATATATATACATATGTAAATTACCTCTCACTTTATATTGAGAGGTGTTCAGTTTACTACTGGTATTACATAATACTAAGTTGAAGGGCTGTTGAAAGTTAAGTTCCCCTAGAAATCTAGCAGCCAAATCATTAATGTGACCTGCGTCCAGTATGTAGTAGCTTACTTGTAGCTAGTAGCATGTTTAGTCCCTTAATTAAGTAGGCGCCTATTTAACTAAGTAGGGAGCAGGGGGGAGCGGGCGAGTCAAGTATGTCGGATTCGACCTCTGTTCCGAGGTCACCACCGTCCGCAGCCGCAGCGAGCACATTTTGAGGGACCGAGATGACACGACCCAAAGGGCAGTGGGCCAGCGTTGTATTGTTTGTTCATCGCTATTAGTTTCGAGGCCATCGCTAGTAGGGTGGAGGCCATCGCAATTAGGCAGGTTGGAGGCCATCGCAATAAGGCAGGTTGGAGGCCATCGCTAGTAGGTTGGAGGCCATGTTGTTATTTCTATTTTTTTAGGCTTTTGGCACTCACCCATGGCCGCTCGAAGTGTAAAAAAGGTTGTTTTGTGTCACTGAGATTGTATTCACATGCAATTGGATAGCAACGAACATAGCAGATGTAGGAGATAGATGTGATATAGCATGCAGATAGCTCAGAGATATAACAGAGATAGCATCCTGATCGCAGGTCTGTTGTCCAAGCCCTAGATTTAATATTTAGCAACCCAGAAAAATCAAGCGACGGACACCGGATCAGTATAGCATCGAACCGATCGTATTTGATGCAGTGGATCGAATCTGCTGGTCATCGAATCATCAGATCGCTCGAGCACCAGATCCGTATGATCAGCGGATCAATCGGATCGGCATCGGATCTGCATCGGATCAGCGGGATGATCGGATCAGCGGATCATTGGAGCATCGGGTCGATCGGAATGTCCGACCAACGGATCACCAGCGTTGCATCGGACAGCGGATCATCGGATTTTCGAATCAGTTGGTCTTCAGACAGCGTCTGGTGTTCAACTGTCCCGCAGCAGCAGACCCCCTATAAGAGAGCAGCAAAGAGGAGCGGCGGCGACCAAGGGCAACCAGCGATCCTCGTCCGACATCAACAGTTTCCTTTGCAATTACCGGAGCAAGCTCAGCAGATTCACGTGCTTCTTCTTGGTCCTTCCATTGTTGATGTGCCGTCTTTTGGTGTACAAATGTGTCCTGATGGCTCAACTGAAGTTGGACTCGTGTTGAAGGACCAGGTTTCCAAGTTTCGTGCCTCGACCAGATCTTTGAGAGGAGCCTTTGGTGACTGACTCAGTTGGCCACGCTTGTTTGGCGTGTTTGGCCTCTTGACCTGATCCTGCGCACTTCCGGAGTCCAGTGCCCCAGCCTTGGAGCATGATGACTTTCCTGTCGATCCAGGATCTGGTACTGCTCAAGGATTGGCAAGGCGAGAATGGACACCTGAGTCAACGCCGAACCAGCAGGCTTGAGAATCAGGTCTTTCGCCGTACAGACTGCAACCATCATCAGACTCAGCAAATGCACAATCTGCTGCACCAACATGGTCAATCCTCGTTCATGACACTTGTGCTGTTGAATGAGGTGCACCTGTAAGCCATGACCCACTCCCACAAAAGAACACAGAAAGCAGCGTCGGTTGAACAGATGGATGAGGAGTCTGTTGAAATCCCTGTGAATGAGCCAGCGTTGCACGTCTGCAGCCAATTGCACTAAGAGCACTCCAGGGAAGAGGTCTTACATTGGTGACAAGGTGCCGTGTAGCGTTGTGTTTTGTTCTAACACCTGGTCTAACCAGACCACCTTTGTCCTTTGGTTTTTTCCTTTCCAAAAGCACCGGTAGAGTTTTGTTAGAACTTGCGATGTTTCGAACGCCAGGCTTTAAGCTTTGGAACCGACATGAGCGCGCTCACGACATGTTCGCCGTCAGGACCTGGTGGAGAAAGGCGCTGAAGCCAAGCTGCTGCGCGTGAATCCTGAGACTTGGGCGGTCGACCACGGCGGCCGGCCACGACCAGTTTGTCTTCCACTAAGCTGTCCTGCAGGGAGAGTCGGCCTTTCTGTAAAACTAGATGAACGCCCAGTGGTTGGGGCCTGCCCAAACTTGTGGTTGGGGCCTGCAGTATGTGGCAGCGGCCACGCAGCAAGATACCCTGCCCATGGTCACTTGACCATTTCAACGGGACATACACGTATGTATTCTGTCCAGCTACTTTTGGGAAGGCGCAACGCCAAAAGTAGAAGAGAACACCAAAAAGTGAACTAGTTTTTGTTTGGATCGACATAGATGTGCTATCGAATCTTAAAGGCAGGAAACACACAGCCAGCAAGGCTCCAATTTGTAACATTAGTTGGCAACATGAGATTTGTGGTCCGTTTCAATCCCGTCGACGGTTTTCAGATTGGCTCAAAAACCCCTAACAATTCACATGTCTATCACTGTCTATCCCTGTATTCATTTGACCCTATATTTTGATGATCCTCGCATGATGATCATGGCATTTGTGCCGAACCCCCGACTCAACTCTAAAAACTTGTGGGTGCAGGTCACCTAGAGCGGTGACTGACAAGTTGTTGAAAACAAAAACCAACAAATGAACGCTAGGGGTTCAGCAAGGACGCTACTAGGGGCTCCTGGCCTTACTACTATGAGCAAGGACGCTACTAGGAGCTCCTGGCCGTGCTACTAGGAGCAAGG